AAACAAAATATAGCATTTACTTATAATATAAGGATCTCCAAAACAAAACGTTAATTAATAGAAAACTGCAATTATGAGAATTAACATTATAAATTGGTTGCACTGCCGAAGAAATCTTTTAAATAAATTTCTAGGCAATTTTTCTATATCAACTAATCTACCCTAAAATGCTAACATAACTCTCTTTTTTTGCTGTGTTTGACCCACATATTTCTACCTATGAGGTAATTAAGTAAGATTTTGTTGACTAACCGACGATGTTTGGTGGAGTTGGGTAATCGTATACACCCAAGCCTTGACTAGTCGCTTGACCTGTTCTGATAACGCCTGACTTGCTCTTCTTTGTAAATCATGTCGTCTTAAGCAGGGGTACCAAAACTGGGGGCTATTTCTTAATTTGTCGGAGACAATAAATAAGTGACAGTTTTTAGTTAACAAATATATATCAATGTTGAAAAAATATTTGAGATGTACATGCCCAATTCGTCATGTTTAATTAGAAAAAGATTCGAAAAAAATTCTTAACCGCATGCAGAACTCGTGCATGGAATCTCACTCTGAATCGACATGAACGATTTAATCAATCTTCATATTTCCGTAATTTTTTTCTCACAATCACGAAAGTTTAACCGGCAGGTCTGTGAATTTAACGGCTGGTTTACAAGTTATGCGACAACGTATGGGCAGAACCGTGCCAGCACGTCTCAATGAAATTAATGTCTGTGTTTCTGCACCCATTTTTTGCTACCAGTTACAACAGCTAAATCAAATCAAGGTCAGCAGGCTTGTGAATGGTTAGGCCAATCTTCTTCATTGCATAAGCGTGCGCGTTTTTCTCGATGCTTCCAGCATTCCAGAAAATGAATGGCGCTTAAACTTCTTAATTGGAGGTGAGTTTGATAAGGACAAGTTGGTGTGCTCATGTGGATAACATTTAAGTAGAAATTAAGCAATATTTTGCTTGTAGGGATCGTCGAGAATGGAGTTAAATTGACACTAGGGTCCACATGCATCAGGAGTTAAAATGTTAGCACATCTAATAATTTAGGAGAATTTTCATGCACAGCAAATTTGTTGAAAAAATTACAACTGCTCAATTGATGTTTGATGAGTAATGCGTCAAATTGTCATTAATAATCGAGCAATCGAGCTCGCTCGCACATTATTTATGTAAAAAGGACCCCCCCAAAAAAAAGAAATTCTCTCACTACTTACACTTGAATGTTATTTACCTTGCCTATGAATCAACTTAATGTTACGCTTATGAAATTTTATGAATGATTTTAAAATTCTTTTGATAATAAAATTATTAAAACGACGAAAATTATTAAAAGTCAGTTAAAATTGTGCTTTTGACCAGAAATTATTATTATTATTCGATTTGTTTAAGTCGCGATTAAGCTTATAATTTTAGAACATGCCAAGTAAATTTGTTAGAATTTCATTGAATAATGAAATTCATTGAATTTAATTGACAGATTATTTGCTTTTGAATTCTTCTTTTAAGCCACTTGCTCCAACTCTGTGCATGACACATCTTTCTCACATGAGTTAGATGTCGTACGTATATAACATCAAGCTCATCGCTAACCAGTACCAACTTTCGCTTTCAAATGTTCACAGAATTATCGCTGTGGCCTTTACACTGAAGGTGTTCAACTCGAACGTTGTATCTTTTATCACCTTCTACTGCCACTCCAACACAGCTCTGGACGCCGCGGTGTTCACACTAAAACTTGATTTTTATGCTCCATTTCTAAATGACGCTCAATGGGAATGACCTTTACCCCGATTTATGTTTGAGTGATATTCCACTCCTACATCCGCGGCACCCAAAACATATGCTGGGCTACAGAAGCATCGCAACGTCTGAAGGTTGTCTGTACACTTTCCCTCTCGACCGGCCAGTCCAGTTGACCAATTCTAATCGATTTAAACGGATGCGGCTGCTCCTCATTTAAAATGCAAAACTATTTCTGGTGAAATAAATATAAACCAATATTGCAAGTGAGCACGAAGCGGCATCATATGCATTATCGATGTTATAAAGAATGCATCCAAATATTTTTAAGATAGTTGGAGGGTCTTTTTAATATCAAATTGCTTGGAAGTCTGTGATTTTCAAGTCGATCAATTCATCGCGATAAAACAAAAATTCGACATCCCACTAAAAAATATCTTCAAGATTTTAATTCAAATTGAACAAAATTAGAGATCAATCGTTAAGAAAATAACTCTCACGTCAAACTAGTTCAATACCTGACTGTAAGAATTGAATTAAGCCTTCAATAAGCATAAGAATTAAAATTACGATTTATCGAGAATACTCTTCAAAGAAAACAAAGCAGAATATGTTGAACAATTAACTTGACTCGCTTCGTTGATTTTTATCCATTTTTTCGAGAATGAAACGGAAGGCAGTTTTTCTTCTCGCAATCAAAATTGGACAATTTGTTAAAAAAAATTATGATAATAAAAAATATAAAGCTTCTTGAATCTAAAGCTTAAAGCTTAGACTTCCTTTCTTAGACACTCTCTGTTGCTCAGCAATGAAATAAAAATAAATGTTCAACAATATTTAGATCAAAATATTTTGAAATAACACATTGAAATCAATATGAGGTAAACCTCGCATTTTCTTCGAATTAAGCCAAGGAAACTTGTAAAACGAGCGAAAATGTTCTCAATTTTTTTATACCAACGCTCATTAAGAGTTGTTTGTCGGTCGTAAAGGATTTGACGGCTTTCAGAGACTTTTATATTCGTGTCTTGTTGCGATTTTCTGCGCGGTCATTTTACGCTAAGCCGGTGAACTTTAAAACATCGAGTCCAGTTTTTAATGAAAAGAAGCCTCATTTCTTTGACAATCGGAAACCTTTGAGGTCAGAATGAAAAACCTTTAGGGTAAGAATAAAAAAGCTTCGGGGTAAAAATGAGAGACCTTTGCGGAAAGAATCAGGAACCTTTGATGTTAGAATGAGAAGCATTTGGGGTAATAATCTAAAACCTTTGTGGTAAGAATGAAAAACCTTCGGGGCAAGAATCAGGAGCCTATGAGGTTAGAATGATCAGCCTTTGCGTAACAATCATGAAAATTTGGAATATAAATCAGAAACCTTTGTGGCAAGAATCGGACATCTTTAGGGCAAGAATCAGGTGCCTTTGGGGTAAGAATGAATTGCCAGAATTTAAGGGCACCACGACAAGCGCCCGCTTTCTTTCGCGAAGCGTAAAAGCCAATTTTTGCAACGAGCTATGTTTTAGCTACGGTAATTATTTATATTTTACATAAGCCAGACTTGAAATTGTTGTCTGATGTGCCACATGAGATCCGTCCGTATTTGTGGAAAGCGTAGACAAGAGCTTTTCAAATCTCCTTGGTGTTGCTCCACGCACCTCTCAGAGAAACAAGTGAGATTTTGTCCAAACTAAAATAGCGATCCATTTTACCCCCTGAGTAGGTCATCCTGACCTAGTTTGACCAGGCAAGAGTATGTGTCAGCGCTACGTGACAGAAGTGTGTTATTATTTGGGCAATAAAACATTCATTTTTCCTAGTGTTAAGAGCAGCCACTAAGCGTTAATTAAGATTGAAGTTAAGCAGCATTGAATTAGGTTTTCCTGAAGAGTTTGGATTACTTCTTCTTCATCGATGCCAGCGAGAAATCATAGATGAACAAACCCATTAATATTCTTACACATTACTGCATGAATTAGGATTACATCCATTAAACAGAGCCGGAATGTCGTGTGATCGCTCATACATAATTATCAAGCGACTTATACAGTACTTAACTGCCGAACATATATAGCGAGGCACATACAATATTTGACCTCTGATCGAAAAACCGAAATAATCAATTTGTTCAGCAAAATTCACAAACATCGAAAGCCATTCAGGTCTAAAATAAAAGTCGTCGGAAGAATCAAGAGGTCCGCTAAAAAACTGCGCAATTAGCGCTCCCTTTTAATTTAACTTGGTGCTTAAACAATATTACTTCTGTGTCTAGCATATTATAAATATTCTATCATTTGCAAGGCTTCAAATAAAATGAGATTACTTTAAACGATTTGAATATTAAAGCAGTCATTTTGCTGATCGTCATTAAGACGTCGCAAACTTAGTCGCCACATTTAAGACGTCACAAACTTAGTCGTCACATTTAAGACGTCACATTGAGACGTCATATACTTAGTCGTCACATTGAGACGTCACAAACTTTATCGTCATATTCAGATGTCACATTGAGACGTCACAAACTTAGTCGTCACATTGAGACGTCACAACTTAGTCGTCACATTGAGACGTCACAAACTTAGTCGTCACATTAAGACGTCACAAACTTAGTCGTCACATTAAGAATTAGTCGTCACATTGAGACGTCACAAACTTAGTCGTCACATTTAAGACGTCAAAAACTTAGTCGTCACATTGAGACGTCACAAACTTAGTCGTCAAATTAAGACGTCACAAACTTAATCGTCACATTGAAACCTCACAAAATTCACACAAGACGTCGAGCGTTGTAGTCAAGTCTACGTTTTCTGAACGTCACCTCACTTCGTGGAGGAACTCTGCCTGCACTGCGCATGCCCGAGCTCACCGCTCACAATTGGAAAGAATTAACCAATTTGATTCATGTTTGTTCATCACAACATCAAAAGCAAACAGCTTTAATAAACTGAATCTTTCTGCTACTCATATCTTGATTTAATGTTGATCCAATAATTTACGCGGAAAATTTGTCAAAATGTGCCTTTGTTTCGGCTATAATTTCATCAAGTCAAGGAGGAACATTACGAATTTGATTAAATTAAATACGTAAATTATGACTGTAATTGAATTAAAAACTAAATCTTTTCTCGTCGCCACTCATATCATTTAAGATGACCCTGACCCCAATTGATTCATTAAAGCTCGAACGACTTCACAAGCACATCGCTTAGAACAAATTAAATCTACAGAAGCACGTTTGGGCAATGAGCTGCCGGCACCGTACCTGTAGCTTCATAGTCCAACGCAGCTCTGGAGTGAACTGGAGCCCTGACCTAGCATGGCACGCTTATATAGCATGACATTCGCGGGTACCCGCCGCGGCCCTGCTTCTTGACTCACTTGTCGACCTCAGCTGCATCATCCTGACGCGCCCGGCCGGACGGAAGCCTCGAGTACGGTACGCTGGGAATGCTGCTCAATAAATCCTTCAACTATGTTAGCCATTAAAGGAAATCGTGTAAATTTGTTTTGAAATTATTTGTAATATTAATCGTGGGTTGTTTTAGGAATTCTCATCGCGACTGGAAACAAGAGAGAGAAAATTTAGTCTTAAATAGATGCAAAGGAGCGTTGATGCTCTTGTTATTCACGATTTAGGTTTTATACAATGTCAATGATCTGTGATGATAAGTAGTGACATTTGAGATAATAAATTCAATACAACTGTTTTCTGATGATGATGTTTCATCTATGAAATGGACAATATATGTTTCCTATGTTCATACTCATATGTTCATGTTTTACATATGTTTTATACTCATATGATTCATGTTTTATACGCGCATCATCCTTCAAGCCTACCGTCCGTAACCCATGCCCCGTCAAATGCCTTTAAAAATCACCCCTAACCTGGTGCGAGGCCCTCGTTTAAACACCTTATACAAGATCGTAAATGCATGTCAATAAAACAATTATTATTCGCTTTTCAACACTGGTGCCAGCGTTGTATTTAGTACTAAACTACCTACTAACTTTATTTTAGTTCACCTCGCACTTACCATTACCATAAGATTTTATGTGTGCGCACGACACACGTGATCGCACGCCCCCTCGTGGCAGGGCTACAGAGAAAGCATGCGGATGCGATGCAGTGAAAGTACGAGCATGCCATGAGCGAAGTGATGGAGGAACAGAGTTCAATAATATCAAAGTGAATTAAAATTATGATGCATTTATCCGTTATCAGGTTATATTTGCTCATGGCCTGGCGAAAAGTCTTTCTGCAGCAATCGGGAAGCCATTATTTCTGACAATATTCCATGTCATTGCATAGACTATCAGTGGCCGCAGTGATTCGCTCGGCGACAGAAGACACCGTCTCGAAATTTGCAACCCATCGAACATTGGCATATTACAATATGTGAATATATATGATATTGTAAAAACACTTCTGACCACCGTCTCACATAAAGTTCTGCTACTCATTTTCATTTATATCTCATCCTCATCAATATTTGCTCAAACCTTACACATGATATATTCTGTCACATCTAAATTTGAATGCAGACATTTTATTCTTGGCCACTCACGCTCTCGTTCTATCCAGCTGCCTTTGATGAAACATAAACTAAAGACGAAAAAGTTACGTCAAAGGAGAATCTTAAAGGTTCACATGAGCCTGCAAGCTATCGAAGTGACCGGAATATCAAACTACCGTCAATTTGTTTTACAGTGAGAGTAAACAGTTTTCTTGCTTTGAAAGGCTACAACATTAAAGAGTTTTTAACATTTTTATGGGATAAGTACGGCAGTAAAAGTTTATGCATACACAATGTCATGTCATAATATTATATTTTTAAAATTATTTGAGCGCACCGTGCTAGACGTCGATTTTCTTATAAAGTGTAGAAATTACTGGAACAAGATATAAACATACTATAAATTATAGATTTGATAATATTATGATTTTAAAATTTAATTGGAAAAGAAAATTGGCATGAAATAACAATGACATGCTTTTCAGCGCAGTTTTCGTTATGGTATTTTTAAAACTATTTTACACCATATGAAATATTAAACATAGTGAAACCATTTAGACATTCATCACTCAATATAAATAGAATTTTAGTATACAAACATAATATGAAGACTACATTAGTCAGAGTCAGACTCCATTAGTTTTGGCGCACTTTGATCTCTTATGAATATTGATCTTCATTAAAGATCCACGCAACCTTTGATACGACCAAAGTAATCTTCACGAATAATTTAGTCTTAAACGTGTCAAATTATCAACATAAACGTCAGCCTTTCAATACCATTGACCAAGAGGTGGACATTAATCAATATAATAGCGTACAGTAGGCATAGATACACAAGCCTGATTCCAATTTCCTTGAAATAAATTATGCTTCTGTCTCATATACACATAATTGCCATAACAATGCAGGAATTGCAGTTCTACTTATTTAAGTTATATTAGGAAGCACATTCATCATGTTGAGAAAGCTTACCTTGAATTTTGCAAGGCAGCTGACATAGATGGCGTAGAGGGATGAAGAATGATGTCTGTAAACGTGGTAGTTGAGGCTAGCACCGTGATGGTCTGTAAACGTGGTAGGTGAAGCTAGCACCGTGATGGTCTGTAAACGTGGTAGGTGAGGCTAGCACCGTGATGGTCTGTAAACGTGGTAGTTGGCGAGGGCTCACCATGAGGGTCTGTAAACACCAATGAATTCCAATGAATTCATTGGTGAGAATTGACTATGATGGTCTGTATAGGTAGCAGCTGGTGAGGCCAACATTGGTTAGCAGAAAAGGAAACGCGATTGCCTCAACGGTCTGCAGAAATGCAGACTTCGGCAACCTTCGCAATAAATAATTGGAGGCATTACAACAGCAGCTGGTCTTTGTCCATCTTTAGACCGCGAGTCATTCTTAACATTGTTGAGATCTCCTCGAGTGCATTCATTTAGAAGTTAGTACAATGATTAACATTAGTGCTACTAGCCGGGTCATTTAGAAGTAGTACAATGATTAAAATTAGTGCTACTATAAGCCGGGTCATTCAGGAGTTAGTACAATGATTATCGTGATTGCTTACTAGCCGGGTTATTTAGAAGTTAGTACAACGATTAACAAGAGTGCCTACTAGCCGGGTTATTTGGAAGTTAGTAGAATGATTAACATGATTGCCTACTAGCCGAGTCATTTAGAAGTTAGTGCAATGATTAACATTAGTGCTACTAGCCGGGTCATTTAGAAGTTAGTACAATGATTAACATTAGTGCCAACTAGCCGAGGTCACATCAAATCAAATCTAACCGGACAATGACTTTAAAAACTCTCCTAAAATAAATTGAGTCTGTCATAACTCTAAATATTTGCTTAGAATACTGCAAACTTTGTGCTTTGAAATGTAGTGTAAATTTCTCCCGCTTCAACTGGACTTATTGGTGAATTCATGGTGCTGAAGGCTGAAAATAAATTGACGAATGATATTAATTATAGTAAATAAATCGACAGAAAAGTGTTACAAAATCAAGTATTTACAGGGGAAATTACTCACTGTCCATTTAATTTTTACAGGTATAGTTTTTGAGTCAATGAAACAAACATCGCTCGTTAGTGCGTACTTATCTGAAATGCTTTCAAGTACTGCTGGGAGCGGAGATTGAACTGTCACCTTGCTATACTTGATGGTAAAATTACACACCTCTTTCAAAAATTCAATTTTTTATTCTAAAAGCAATTTATTAACAGTAATTTACAGTTTTTCGTGACTCAAAAACTTGGAATTCAAGAGATTATTTTGTCGCATGTGATGGCAGCAAAAATAATTCCTTAAACTTCATTAGTTACCTAATTCTCTTGTGATAACTGAAAGATAATTATGAGTTTATTTTTTTAGTCGGCGTGGACGGAAATCAAGCATTTTGTAGCGTTAACATTGCATGACCTCATTGTGCACGAATCAAGAAAAGTAGCTACTGCTAAAAAAATATCATAATATCCCAATCGAATTTAGCTTAAAGAGGCTTCAAGCAAAGTGGTGTCCATTTATGTTTACACGCCCGCAATGCACGTTCTTATCTCAGTGGTAGTGTTCATGCGTCTTCGTTATCTGCTTCCTATAGACCCTGGTTATCTGTTCCCCTTAAACCTTATTATATGCTTCATCTAAATAATTTATAAAGTTGAGTCTAATACGTTCACGCCTCACAAGTAAGTGCCCTTGTTATCTGCTTCCTCACAAAACAATGTAAGCGAACATACGTTCACGTCTCATACGAACGTGTCCGCGTTGTCTTCTTCCTCACAACAGAGAAGTCATCTCATTAGGAGGAGGAATCACCTCATTAGAGACGACGTTACCTCATTAAAGACGACTTAGTAACTTCCGACATCTGATTCCGACAGGGCGACCTTCCGACGACGCGTTAGCTTATCTCGTACGTGGAGCTACTCAGACGCGGGCCATAACAATTATTGTTTAATGCAAAATAATGCGAAATAATATATGAGTCGTCTGGAGGCGATTCAAACAATAAACATTAGTTCTGTAATATTTTCCGCCGTCAGGGAAATTCATTTCCGCCAGGGAAATGGTTTCAAATATATATAAAAATAAGTATTGCTACGAACCAAGTTAAACAATTTCCGTAAGTCTTTTTATCCTCGATAGGTCTATCAAGTCACCAAATGTATGCGCCACGTTATTCAGAGAACGAGATACACATTCATAATAAAAAAAATTATTTAAACAAACTAATGTTACCCTGAATCAAGAGACCGTACCAATGAATTGTTCCCGAGCATCACTAAAATTTTTAAGCAAAAATACTCAATCCTTGTAAAGACATTGCTCATGCAAAAAAGGTTGCTCATGATCTAAAGGCCTGAAACACATGTTACCTTGGCAAAAAAATCTTTATATATTTCTCTATCTATGGTCACTCGGTTAGGATTCATCCGAATTTTTCGAGTTTAAGCAGTCAATTCGACCTCGGCCTTAATCTTAGCGTTAAAGAGCGGAGTAATTTCGAGTATTTCAGAGCAGTTAAGAATGAACGACAGTGCTAAGATTATCATGGCCGTTCAGGGTCGACCTCTGCAAATTGACTTTTAGTATTCACGCTGCTCCTGAACATTATTAATTCCCGTTCTATGAGAGTTTTCACTGTAAGAAGATGTATATTGGTGAAGTACATGTTGCTTAAGCAGAGCATGTTGCTAGATTTAACATGTTGCCAAAGCCAGCATTATGCTTGAACTGACATGTTTCTTGAGTTAATTGGCATGTTGCTGAACTAGCATGTTCCATG